AGACGGGAACAGTTATAAGAGTAGTTGCTAACTGGAACCAGAGAAATAATGGTAATTTTATAATGCATAAAATGATTAGCAGATTACAAAATAAATCTGATTTCAAAATTACTAAAGTTTTATGTAATATAATCACCACTGCAAACATCTTTGATAAATCACTTTTAACATTAATTTTGCATCAAAAACTTAGTAAAAGTGGTCATAATCTTTCAAAATGATAATTGCTATTTTGTTATACATTTTGGACTATTATTATAGTCACAAAGAGTGTCATAATATTTTGTATGAGTCTCTTGTAAATATTATATTTTGTAATCAATATTTACAGAAATGGTTTGCAAATTTACAAGAAAAAAATAATATACCAACTAGATCAGAGGTTTTTTTAGATAAATCATATTGCCATCTTCACCATACTAATAATAGTACATGAGTTTCACATTAGAGAATTGTATTTTTATCTGATCACGGTCTACTTCTTGTTATTTTTAATATAATTATTATTGTATGAAATTATAATTTCAATAAAATATTTAGAGAATTAGTTCCTAGTTCTTTCTTAATATGGAATTCATCAATCAAATTATTATCAACGAGAGAAAGAAGACATGTCAATGCTAATTCTTAGAAAGATATTCCTGATAGTATATAATATACCAACATCATAATCAATAATATTAATTATCATGATAACTTTATAGCTGACATTTTTAAAGATATTTTTGACAAACTCTGTAGCAATATTAAAGATCTTTATGGTGAAGTAGATATCCATATGGATAGTACTTATTATCATAAATAATGAATTGAAAAGGTACTAACATTAAATATGAAAAAAAGTGATCTATTTGCTTGGTTAACCTGCAAGAATATTAACATTTCAGAAGATTCTAGTAAAGTAGAACTTTATCAACTAGTTAAATAAAATAAAATGAATATTTCTTTTAAATATGTCAAAATAGTTAAAAATTATGGATATAATTTATTTTATATTCCATCTTATCATTGTGAATTTCAACTAATTAAAGGTATTTAGGTGGTAGTAAAAGATAATATTTCTTGATCAGATTCATATCCTGATCTTCTTTCTATTAGAAATAGATTATTAGATACTTTTAAAGAAAAAATTACATCCAAAATTATTATTGGTTTATGGAAATGATCATTAGACAGGACAAAAGAATATAATGCTATAATTGATAATATATTATTAGTTAATAATAATTCTGATAACAAAGATTTGGCCTATTATGGAGATAAAAAAATTGATATATAAAAGCTAATAAAAATATATCAAAATAAATTCCAGAAGCTAAAAAATAAAATAGATTATGAAAATTTTAAATTTAGTTTTTTTTAAAAAAATTTTACTATAACAATGTAATATACTAATATTTTTGTACCAGACTATATATAGAAATACATTTAAAAAATTGATATAATCTATACTATACTATATAAATTAAATCAGATCTATCTATTCTTTATAAAATATTACATGTTATTTTACACATTCTGTTATCTATCTATTTTAGTCTAAAAAGTTCTACATATTATGACAAGAAGTACTGTCAAGAAATAGGAATGTTAATTATATACTCTTTAAGAAAAAATTGATATCATTTAGTTTGCTTTTGTCTCAAGTAATATCAAGATTGCTATGAAATTTAATCTGAACAAATTACAAGTTAGTCATTGAATAAATTAGTTAAAAAACTAGCTAAACGCAATTAGAAACAAGAAGTTATATTGATCTGAATATGATAGAAAAGAATTTTTTTCTGAGAAGAAAGCATGACTTTGTATCTAGATAATCAAAATATATTATGTAGTACTTATCATAATATATAATAGTCTTAAGCTTAAAATATCAAAAATTATTTTTAAAACTGTTACTAATACTGAGAATCTTATAAAAAATAAATTGCATGTAACTTCAAAGCATCATCAATATAGTTGTCATATTTTTTAAAATATCATAATCTTATCTTGTGCTAAAAAATAAAAATCATGTAAAAAATATCTGCTGATTTTAAATAAAAGCTACTTGACTTCCAATATTTTATAATTCATTTATATCATCATAAAAATTTTTCTCTAAGTCATATTACAAACATGGATAAGATACTGATGTGATTTAATATGATTAGTAATCTCACAGTTGAAAGTATTAATGTCAAGATAATATATATTTATATTACTGATAATGAAAAAAATTAATTTATAGTAGTTTTGACATGTTTTGCTAATAGATAAAAGTTTTCTCTCATAATTATTTTCAAGAGAAAAAAATAGTTTATAACAAAAAAATTATTATCATATAGTGTGACTATTCTCTTTTATAATAAGAGCTAGATGGATAAAATAGATATATTAGCTTAAATTAAAAGTTATGCTAAAAATCAATCAGGTAACTAACAAAAAGAATTTGCTCTTCTTGTTTTTGACTTATTTAAAGAATATCTTATTAATACTATCAAGAAGGAAATTAAAAAATATAATACTGATCTTGCTATTATTTCTGGTGATCTAACTTTTGTATATTAATCTCTTAATATTTTTATTAATTATTCTTTCAGAATTACACTTTATTATTATTGACATACATGAATGGCAGGAAATAATAATACTAAAAAAACCAAGTTAGAAAACTTAAAACATGCAGAATTGCATACTATATGTGAGTGAATATTGGCTGTATAGGCAGAAATTGATTTTAAGATTATTTGATATTCTTTTCTTAAGTATTCAATTTCTAATACTATAAATGGATCAGAGAATGATGAAATTTATCATGATGAAATTTATACTTTTAATGAAGATGAAAATGGAGATGAAGATGAGAATGAAGATAGTAAAAGTGAAGAGAATATTAATAATAATATAATAATTGATGGTGAAAAAGTTATTAGTATTCTTATTAAATAATATATTATATATATAGATAATTGAAAATAAAAAGGGTTACTTATATTTAATATCTATAATTTTATCTATTTTTTATTTTAAAATAGAAGAATTTCTTATATTCGTGAGTTGCTTGTAATCAAAGATATATGATATATATATTATATTATTTAAAAAAATATTATTTAGTTTTTTAAAATATTTGTTAAAATTTGAATTATTCTTAATAAAATATTTGCTGATTATATATGTTTAGTTATAGTATTATATTTTATAATAGTACTATTATTATTCTTATCAATATTTAAAGACTTTTTTGATAAATTTTTATTTTTACTAATATTTGAAAAATATTTAGTAAGTAGCTTAATATTTTTAAAAATAAATATATAAATATTATTTGAATTCTATTTATATTATTTAATATATTCTGAATTTTCAAGATATGATACTTACATTTTTAAAAATCTCTTTTAATTATTTTTGTAAAATATAAGTTCTTTTGAATAAGAATATTTCATTTTTATTAGAATTTATAGCTTTATTTAAATTAGTTAAATACTAATCAAAAATCTATTATACTTATTAAGCTTAAAATTAATATCAGAATCAGAAGCCTAAAATTCAGAAATGAATCTAAATGTTAAAGAATTATGAGCTTGAACTGCTAAATTTCAAGATTATTATTTTGTTATTGCATTTTAGATCATATAAAGCATGAGTCAATTAGAAATAATAGATATTATACACGTGATAAAGCACGAGCCAATCAGAAGTAAAAAAATCACTGCACGTAATACCAACAAATTTTTTGAGGTTATAGTAAAATAAACGAATTTAATTGCAATTAATATTTCTAAACAGAAAATTATGCTAAATGAATCGATGATTATAAATAATAATTATCAGTTCAAAACTTATAAAAATTAAGTATATCAACTTTATAAGTCTTAGAAAACATCCACTTTTTATATAGATTAGTTTTGATTATAGTTTCCCACTGTATCGGATTTTTTTCCAAAAAACATATCACTATATTTTTGCTCTCATGCAGACCCTAACGACCTAACTTATCCGAGCTATTTTCACCATGTTATTTTCACGTGATATGAAATTACAGGATGTTTCCGATCGCCATGGTGATCACCATGATTAATTCCATGTATGGCCTCTTTGGGGCTCAATATCTCGAGACCCAGTGATGGGAATCGAATGTAAAGTTCACCATTCAATTCGTTAGAACCTGGGGGGACCGAATGATATGCCTTTCACTCGATTCCTATCACTGGGTCTCGAGATATTGAGGATTTGAACAATTTTTGCATTTTTGTTGCATGTCTGGCAAATCACATTTTTTTCAATAATTGCGACATAGGCAATAAAACAATAATTTATTTAATCATAAAAAATACTTTAAGAGAGAAAAACGCAAACTAAACAAAAATCCAGTCCATGAAAGTATTCATTAAACCGCACTTAAATTAACTTACCCTTTTAAATTTATTAGATGATAGATAACCTGCGAAATGGATCAAGAAATAGGGCTTTACCTCGAGAATCATATATAATCGTTATTATTTGCTATATTATTTTGATTTAGAAACCGAAAGCAACAATAACATAATAATAAAACTTATCATTTATGTGAACTTACGATCCCGTGATCTTTTTTTATCGCAATAAAGATCAAGCCGAAAGGAAAGAAATAAAGAAGCTTCATCCTCCTCCGTATTAATTGGAATCCCGTTTATCGTTGTTTGTTGTTGTATCAACAAAAGAAATTGGGTCAAACATTTGTTGCTATACTTAAATAAGTGATAATACAGCGTAATACAAACAATTTTTTCAAAGAAAAAACCACCTTTATTTTAAACTGCAAAGAGGATGGGTAGAGTGATAGTTTCCTCGATAAAGCAAGCGGCAGTAGTAGTATGATGATGTCTAATGATGTATATATTATAGCAGATAACTAGCAAATATACAATCAAAAAAAAAAGGAAAATAGTACAAAGTGACAAGATAACCATAAAAGAAATCGTAACAATAGTGATGTCATAGTAAAAAACGAGAAAATTTCTACAATCCATGTATTAAACAACTGTATACTTGCCATATCCGCCTAATGAATTACTTCCGGGATTTCGTGATTCAGCTTCGATAGCACTGAGAGTAGTCTCCGTGAGAATACGTTTGATTTCATTCTTTGCCTTCTCCACAACATATTCATTTTCACCCTCGACAAACAAATATAGTTTTCGTTCACCGGACCCGGGAGCTGGATTGCGTCCAGGTGGGAAGTATGTCCCGCGAGTGGTGATTGCTGCGCCTGTAAGTTCTGTGATTTGTGATATTTGTTCCTATAGTAAGAAGTACAAATTTTTAGTCATTGTTTTTGGTTTAATAGTCTGAAAATTTGCGCAAAAAAAAGAAATGAAGTAATTACCTTATTTGTTACCTTCCACCGTGCTTTCTGTGGATAATCATTTATTTCTATCTCGACCGAATACTCGGCAGCATTTTCAGTTTTATTTTCTTCCGTAACAACACCTCCTTGCACTGAATTCTCTTTAAATCGCGAATTTATATCTGCAATGATATCCTTAGCACGTTGTACTCCACTTGTGCCAACGGCTGCATTAATTCTAGCAGCGGCTTGTTGTGCAGCTTTCAGAGCTTTATTAATAAATAGAAAAAAAAAAATGGTAAATTTAAGTCAGGAAAGATCATTAAATAACACAATGATAGGAAAAAATTAATTTGAAACAAACCTGCTATGGCCGCTGGATTCATTTCGGTAGATTGTCCTGAGACCGATGATGTAACAGAAGCAATTGATGAAGCAGCGGCGGGAGTAGAAGCAGCGAGACTTGATATTTTGCTGCTAACAGCCGCAGCAGCAATACTCGCCGCTGATGAAATCTCTTCTTTTTTGAGTTGTGAAGTTTCTTCGTCCTCTTCCACTTCTTCTTCTGATGTTTCGTCATCAGCGTCACCATATGTCTAAATAAAAAAATTGGAAATAAATATTTTGTATTAATAATTCAGATTAAATAAATGAACATTTACCTTGCGTTGAGCTTTTTTAACAAGATCTCTCGCTTCATCCAATCTTTCAAGACCTTTTCCACCGAATCCTGAACCTGAATAAGTAGCACTACCTGCTTTGACTTTCTCTTGAAATCCTGAATTTAGAAAAGTAATAATATTCATTAATAACAAATTTATAAGAATGGAATATCTAATAAATTTGTACCTTCTGCAAGCTGTTGTAATTCAGGAGTCACGTTACCCCCACTCAACTTCAGAGCTTTCATAATATCCATAGCGTATCGATCTTGTTCAGGTGTAATGAAAGTATACGCTGTTCCTTTATTACCTGCTCGTCCTGTTCTACCCACTCGGTGCACGTAATCTTCCATATGATTAGGGCATTCATAATTAATAACAAGTTTTAGCTGTTTTACATCAAGGCCGCGAGCGGCAACAGACGTTGCTATTAAAAGTTGGCATACTCCAGACTTAAAATCTGCAATAGTGCTATCACGATCCAGTTGATCCTATAAATAAACCAATTGACGCAATATTTAATAAATATTCATATATTGACGATATTTATCAAATCAAACGATATTTATCATACCTTGCCACCATGTAGAGACATGCACGGATACCCTTTTCGAATCAAATCCCTCAGCAAATTATCAGCGGCTTCTTGACGATCGACAAATATTAAACAACGAGCATCCGGGTCATCATTGTATTGTTGTCCCAAGATTTCAAGCAACCGAACGAATTTTGTATTTTCTTCACGAACTTCTACTAGTTGCGTAACATCTTGAGCAACAACACTGCGGCCTCCGACTGTTATTTCAAGAGGCTTTCTTAAGACTTTTCTAGCTAAAGATTCCATCTTTCGAAGACAGCTTGTTAGTAAACTAAATAAAAACAAGTTCAAATGCAAGGTAAATATAAATTATCTTACTTGACGTGGAAATGTGGCTGAAAATAGAACCGTTTGTCGATCAGGCCGTACATTATTTACAATCTTCATTACTTGAGGTTCAAATCCCATATCAAACATACGATCCGCTTCATCCAAAACCAAGTAAGTAACTCGTTTAAGATTCGTGACGCGTCCAGCATTAGCACACAAAAGGTCAATCATACGACCAGGAGTACACACAATAATTTCAGCGCCACGTTTTAGATCAGCAATCTGGTCTTTTATGGGAGATCCGCCATAAGCACAAACAGCCTAAAATAAAGCAAATTTAGACTATTTTATAATTTATTCCACGAGAATTGAACTGTATAACATAATATAATAATATAAAATTTACCCGAAGTCCTAAAGCTTTTAGGAAGTGTTTACATTCTTTGTGAATTTGCACCGCCAATTCTCGAGTCGGCGTCATAATAATAGAAATGGGACCTTCCATCGGTTCAAGTGGACGTTGATCTTTGATGTGACGAAACATTGGTAGCAGAAACGCAATGGTTTTGCCACTACCCGTTTTGGCTACGCCTATGACATCACGGCCTGCCATTATTGCAGGAATTGCTTGCGATTGAATGGGTGTGGGCTTTTCAAAATTTAATTTTTTAATCACTTGTAGACTACATTTATTAGAGAAAAGAAATTAATATGTTAATATATTAAAATATTAATCAAAATTTTGTAATTATAGTCACCAGGAGGCAGGTAATCCAGCATGAGTCCATTTTTTAATAGGTTTCGGACAATCAATACCCTATACCAATTGAAAATAACGAGTGAGAAAAAATAAATTTCAGTTACATATTAAATGAATATACACACTCGAATCTTTATTCCGTCCAGTTCTACTCGAAGTAGATCCACTTGGTCTGGTGTCAAATCACGCATTTCTGGTGGTTCAATATAGAAATTTTTTTGAAATGGTTCATATTTCACTTGCGAGTGATCAACTGCGGCCAAATCTTTCTTTTTTAATTTTTTAGCCGCAATACTAATGATTAATCCAAATCATAACGAGTTTTATTAATTGGGCGAATAAATAACAATCAAGATATAATAAATAAAAAAACGTTAATGAACGCTTACGCTAAAATATCTTCAGGATCACTATATACCTCTTCATCTTCATCATATTCATCATCTTCCTGTGGAGCTTCGATTTTCTCAATCTTTTTCTTACCCTTATCAATTTGCTTGGCTATCTTCTTATCTTGTTCGTTCAATATGCCAACTTTGATCTCGACGTCTTTCATATAGGCGTCTAACGGATCTTCGTCTTCATTTGCGGTCTCAACAATTTGCGTGGTATTAGTAGATGACATCGTAGCCTCTTTAGCGTTGTTTAATTTTGAAGGCGACGACGAAGTTAATCCCTTATCTTCGTCTTCAGTAGAGGCAGTTGCCTTCGATTTCGTTTTAATGTTTATCGTAGATTTCTTATTCCCTAGCCCGAGTAATGGGTTTCTTCGAAATTGTAATGTGGACGATGGTTCTGTAGACTTATCAGCAACTTTTGGTATGGGCAATGGCAAGTCTACCACGGTCTCTGTTGATGCCGTAAAAAAAAATGTATCGCATTTTAATAATCATAGCAACGATGAAATTTGACATCACAAATTAACCTGTTACGCCATCAACATCCATAGTATCATCTTCGTCGTCATCGTCTAGACTCCATCCTTTGCCATTATTACGAATGTCTTGATGAATATCTTGATTTGTACTGGAGGAGGTGGATTCGGCCGCAATTTTAGCTTTCGCCTCTTCTTCGGCTTTTTTAGTTGCTTCTCTCTCTCTTCTCCATTGCTCTACTCTTTCTCTTCTCTGACGGATTTTTTCTTCTTCTTCCTGATCAATAAGAGAAACTATCGTTTTGGGAGAAGTAGCATTTAACGCCTGTATAAATCAATTAGGTAACGCGATAAAATGTGCTTAATAGATTGTATTTCGTTTTTATGAACAAAATCGAAAAACTACCTTCGGTTCAGGGCTTTGTGACTTTGATTGTTTACCATGACCATTCGGAGTCAACGAACTATCACGAACTCCAATATTCTCAGTTTTATTATCAGTCACATTGAAAGTGGTAATATGCGACGATGATTTACTACTGCCCTTTATTTCTCGAGTTTCTTGATTATTACTAATAGTCGAAATAGTAGTAGTTGAAGAACGTCCATTATGATGGTGGTGGTGATAATGTCTATCACTTGTCGATTCACTACCTCGATCAAAAGCCTCCTCTCTTTCAGAATCTACTCTCGAATGCTTTGTCCTTTTGTGTTCTCTTTCCTCCCTGTGACGATCTTTATCCCGTCCCCTTCTCTCTTCTCTACTTTCGCGAGATCGTTCACTGACGCTCTCTTTTGTGCTGCTACTACGTTCTCTACTACGAGCCCGTTCACTCCTATGTGAATGTTTGCGTCTTTTGTGTGAAGATCGAGAACGGCTTCTTGATCTTGAATGTCGCGCCATATTATTCTGGTTGATGATAATGATATGCCAATAAAAGTATTAACGTTAAAATTTTCAAAGCCTTTGCCGCAGCAGATTAAATTCATGCAAGCATGTGTGTGTTACGTCTTCAAATAAATAAACATTTTACATACACTCAGTAATTCAAAACCAACCTTCTTAACTATGGCTGTAGAGACGACCAAATCTATACAAGAAGAAAAGATTGGTACTTCTAGTTCCTTTGATAAATCCAACGTGGACAAAACTCCTGTTAAAGAGAATCTTTTTCAGAATGGAAAAGCCAACTTAAATGCAGAGCAGCGGCAGCAACAAACGAAAAATAAACGCAATAATAGGAAGAAAAAGAAGAAACAACAGGAGGGAATGAAAGCAAATGTTAAGACTGATTTACAAGATCAAACGGTGAGAATAAACCATTTTGTGTTTGACTTTGTGATATAAATAAGAAGGAAGGGCATAGGTTTTAAATTATACTGTTTTTTTGCATCAGATAATATACTAACTTTTTCTATTTGTTGCTGTCTAAAATAAAAATTCGTTCTTGGGTGGATATTGATTGATTTTCTTTGGGCTTTTCAGAAGTTATCAGAACCTGTTGCTGATAAAGATAATGAAGATGTTGACATAGAGTATGTATTACCACCTTTAGATATACCTAACGAACCATACTTTGAAGAATTCTCAAAGGTTTTTGCCCATTTTCAGGTTCAAAAAGAAGAGACTGAGGTACGCGTTCTATGTTATTACCAATAGCCGCTAGTAATAGCAGTATAATAGTAAAGAGATTATCAATAAACTAGCACCGTCACATCAGCATCAAAATTTTCTATATTTATTAATTATTTTATTATACAATAATAGTCACAAGCAGCAACTCTACAAACGGAAGAGGAATCCACAGAAACAACAAAACCTCAAGAAAATTACACCATTAACAGCATTAATAATGTCACTAAAGCATTGCTAGACTCTGATAACGAGGTTGATCAATCCGAGGAAGAAGAAAACAATAAAGAAAAGGTATCGAAAAAGAAATTGCGGAAACTGAATAGGCTTAGTGTAGCGCAGTTAAAACAATTGGTAAAGCGACCCGAAGTTGTTGAGGTGAGTTTTTTTAAGCACATATAAAGTTATTGAGAATATTTCTGCCGATGATTAACGATAAATTTGGAATGAATGAATTACATAATCAAAAAGTGGGTTGATGTAACAGCAGCTGATCCCAAATTACTTGTAAGTCTTAAAGCTTATCGAAATACAGTGCCGGTGCCACAGCATTGGTCACAAAAAAGAAAATATCTTCAAGGAAAACGAGGAATCGAGAAGCCTGCTTTTGAATTACCTGGTACGTTTTAATTCCGTCATAACCGTTATTCATGATATTTGATAATTATTTATATTCATTAATAAATTTTCATTAATAAATTTATTAGATTTCATAAAGGATACTGGTATCATGGAAATGCGCGAAGCAGTCAAAGAAAAAGAAGACGCAGCTAAACTAAAACAAAAAACACGTGAGCGAGTGCAACCAAAAATGGGAAAATTAGATATTGATTATCACAAGTTACATGACGCGTTTTTCCGATTTCAGGCAAAACCTAAACTCACAATTCATGGAGAGTTGTAAGTGCGCTTTTTCTCATATAATCTATATAGATATAATATGCATCAAATAAATTATGTACTCATTTTGCTGGACATCAAAATCAATTTTTTCAAGATATTACGAAGGAAAGGAGTTTGAAACAAAACTTAAAGAAAAAAAACCTGGCCAATTGTCGGAGGAATTAAAAGCTGCGTTAAATATGCCTCCGCTTGCGCCGCCTCCGTGGTTAATTGCAATGCAACGATATGGTCCTCCACCCAGTTATCCGAACTTAAAAATTCCCGGGTTGAACTCTCCAATACCAGAAGGGTAAGATCAATTTAAAATAATTTTTCCTTTTTTTTCTCTTAAATTTAATTAAAACTTTTAATTATATTAGAGCTCAATGGGGATTCCATCCTGGTGGCTGGGGCAAACCACCAGTTGATGAAGTGAGAAAACTTCTGATAAAAATATTATACTTGATATACATAGGTTCTAGCTATTTTTATCCTTTTGATTTTTGTAGTATAATCGACCGTTGTACGGTGATGTCTTTGGAACATATCAACAAGAAATACCATTAGAGGTGAGAGCATCATCTTCATAAAATTAGAAATTCTTTATATTTTTAATCGCTTTGTTAAACATAACAAACGTTGTACACACTTGCCTTATTATTGATAATCAAAGATGGTTCAACCGATTGAACGAAAGTTATGGGGTGAATTAGAAGTCGAAGAAGAAGGTAAAACCTTAATTTACCTTAATTTAGCATGAAATTTTTTTATATCTAATTCATTTACAATATATAACTCATTGGTGCTCATAAAAAAAAACTAGAATCAGAAGAGGAATCAGAAGAAGAGGAAGAAGAACACGAAGAAGAAGAAGCCGTTACAGCCAAAACATTACAAGAGGGTCTAGTGACACCTAGTGGTTTGGCCAGTGTAGCCAACGGTCTTGAAACGCCTGCATATATTGAATTGAGGAAATTCCAAAATGCACCCCAAGCCGCTGCACCAACAGCTGCTGCTTCACTAGAAAGTGGATTACAAACGCCGAGCGTTATCGAGTTACGAAAATATCAAAGGTAAGAATTTTTATTTCTATATGTGTAATAGTTTTTGATTTGATCATTATTAACTGATTCTTATTGTATAATTTTAGAGTCGAAGAAGACGAACCCAAAGCTTTGTTCACGGTTCTTCCTCAAAAAGAAGCATCGATATCAGGATTCATGGGATCGCAGCATGTATATGACTTGGCTGCCGCTGGCGTGACGACAACCAAGAGTAAAAAAGTATGTAATATTTTCTATTATGATGTTTAATGATCATATCTTTTCCAAATTATTAATATTTAATTTCTGATTTTTCGAACAATAATAGCGAAAACTTGTAGGAACTGGTGTTGATGTTGCACTAGACCCCTCGGAAATGGCTAATCTAGACGAAGAAACTTTACGCGCTAAATTCGAGGAAGCTCAACAGGTTAATAAGCTACTCCCATCCAATTATTTAATATTTAACATTAAATTTTTACGCATGTTGATTAATTTTGATCAATTAAAATTAGGAGCACCAACCTGAAGGTGCACACGAAGATTTCTCTGACATGTTGGCTGAACATGCAAATAAACAAGCAAAGAAGCGACAAAAACTTGCGGATGCGAAAGCAGCCGCACGGGATGCCGGGGCTGCCAGTGGATCTAATCAAAAGAAACACAAAGAGTTTAAATTCTGAGTCAACGAATCGATGGGCTCTTCATTTTATCATTATTTGGTATAGAAAGAAAAATACGTTATTGATGGTGAGTACGTGAGTTCTACTAACAATAACAATAATCATCTCAATCAAAATACCACCATAATTGGAAATAAATCAAAAACTTTTGTATATTTGATTAAAACAAAAATATTATTATACTATTATCATTTATAATTATTATTATAGGAACCTTCTATCAGTAGTCCCGAGGTTTGTTTGTATAGTTGTATATTGATTTTATCGATCGATTAATGAGTTCAAATTGTATTAATTTCTGATAGCATTTTAGTTGTTTAATAATTTAAAATAGTTTTTATACTAAAATTGATGCATCTGTCGTTGATTGAAATAATATCAATTCTCTCCTTTCAAAAGGCATACTATTTTCATTACTACTACCACCAACACCAACACCACCACCACTACTATGACTACTACTATACGATCCATTCTACTTGATGAGAGGAATAAAAACAAGTTTACTTTGTCGAGTTTTTTAACTTTATAATATCTGGACCGATAATAATAAACCATTTTTGTTTAATGATTTAGGTTGCCCCCTCGTCTGGTATTTTTGATTACATACAAAGAACTGGTCAAAAATATTCGATCGATTTTTGGAGTGCTTATAAAATCAATTAACTAAATAAAACCGTCAATATGCAAGTTATTGTGATGTTCACAAAATATATAAAAAAGTATATGCCAATCTTTTTTTGATTTTTGATTTTGAAGGCGTAGGTAGATAGATAGATGATATTTTATAAAGTGAAAGTAGATTCTATTCATAAGTTAAAATAGTCTTAAATATATTAGTTTAAAATAAATAATGCCCAATCCTGTCAAAGCTTCTCAGAGAGAAAAAGAACTCGATATCGCGCGATGTAAAGGTAGTAAATAAGTGTGTTCTCTTTTATCCCGATTTACTCGAAAGGTCGATTTGAATCTATTTATTTCTCTTCCCTTGGAATTTAAACATTGATCTTAAAATTTATTAAGGAAATTGGGTTGCTATACCTGAACTAGCACGTAAATATCGTAAACATAATCCCGATGGTATAGGTATGTATTGAAGCGAGCTTTTCATTTCTGACAAACTTTGTGTTCACCCATATTTTTATAATTACAAATACATTTTAGTTCTTGAGCATACAGCCTTGGCCGAGTTTTCGCTGGTGTTAGCTATACAACATGTAGAAGAACAAAATGGTCTATTGATCTATGATGATGATGAGCCAGATCATATTTCTATGGGACCTGTGGTTGAGACGACAACGGTGAACGATGTTTTTGAGAAACTCGAGAAAGCAATGAGCAATTCAGAGGGAGAAGAAAAACAGGTTAGAAGAAGAATGTAAAGTGAATACTTATCTAGTTGATCCACGATAGTTTAGTGCTCATGAGACAACATCTCAAGTTGACACGACAATGTATTATTGATAATTATTATTATTTTGAGATAACGCGTGTTTTTATTACTGCTATGTTTCATAAAGTATACGACTATTATATTAGGTCGTGCTTATTTTGCAACCGGGGCGTATTCAAAATGTCTGGAATCTATGCAAGCACCATTTGTGCCAACAAAGTTACCTTCAGGATACAATTTCATATTAATTATTCAAGGGTTAACAATCAGAGGTAAAGAAAGCTCATATGATATCTATCATGTTATAAATTCTTTATTAATACAAATGTTATGTTTATTTTCTTAGGAATGGCTTTAGAAGTGACAGAGGATCTTAAAGGGGCGATAGAATGTTATGACAAAGTGATGGAACTGTTAGGGCAAAGAGCTACTGATCGATCAGAGCAATTAATGTACTGGGCTGAAGAGGTTCTTTATCGCGTTGCATTACTTAAAGCACGAATTGGGTATATATATATATACTTATAAAATAAATCCATAAGTCGATAATATTCGATTAATTTTTTAAGGGCATTTCTATTGTATATAGCGATGCAAGTGGTGCGCTTCATGCATTCCGAACTTATCAAAGATACGCTGTATTTTGGGAAAAATTTCGACTAAACAAACGAGCAGTAATTTATCGAAATTTTATAAAGCTCCTTTCGAAAACTTATCAAGAAGGTACTTATGTACCACCGAGTGCTGATCTCCTACCAAAGTGAGTGGAAAAAATTGAATTCGTTTATTAATTTTTTATATTGCTAATTAAGATAAACTTGTTGAATATTTTTAGTGGCCAAATAACACCACCTCACACATTTCGAGATGAGTTGACTGAAGTACACGCGTTATATGAGAATTTACTCTACCAAATAACATCATTTCCAAAAGCCGGCGATGTTAATTGGCGTATCTTGGAAATGGTAGATCAAGTGATGGCTGATTGGACATTACTCGGTTATGGAAAAGCGTCAGAAATGCGGGGATTAGTTGAGGTTTTAATTTTTCTTTAAATTTTGTTATGAAAGTCGTATTTTTAAAGAGGATGAAAGGTGAGAAAAGATACAGTAAAAGTCAAGGAATTACCATCGCTATTACGTGTTGTATATACGATTAGCGACAAATTACAAAATTCTTGATGCGCATGCAAAGAACCAACAATACTTTCGATTCCTTCCCTTTTATTGTATCATTCTTTCCAACATCACTCATACGCACAAAGTAGCGCGCGACTATTTACGCGAAACGATACCCGTGTGTGCATTGCTTTTCTTTAATTCTGTGAAAGGCGTGATTCAACTTGCCGGATGACACATTTTGCAGATGCTTTACCGGGCAGCGCAAATGACTTTCCATTCCCCTCGAATTCTGCGGCACCTTATCAACTCTTTAATCTTGCTTAGCGAGTACGAGGAATCAGAACTGGCGCTGAACGCCTATATCGCATTGATGGAAAAGGCAAAAGAAACACAAAAAGATGATAAAGAATCTGCAAATTCAGCAGAATCTAAAAAAACTCAAATCTCGGAAAGCGAACTTTTGCCGGATTTTGTGCAAACTTTGTTGACTGGTGTTATTCTTACGGGGAAATATTTGAATAATGTAGATTTTTGTCGATTAAGTTGATGACTTCGTTTCCTTTTTAATTTCAATTAATTAATTAATCGTTTGTTTATTCATTTATGATGATGATGATGAATACTAAAAAAAGGCAAAAAGAGCATTAGAACTTGCAGAAAAAGCAAGAATATTATGCGATAATGATGAAAGTGAATCTATTGATGACGAGCTGTTTGCTCAATCTTGGAGATGTTTGGGCGTGGCTTATAGTTTATTGGCTTTCGAAGGTTAGTATCACGTTATCTGACTGGTTTGTTAAAATCTTTCTTATATAATGCACTATTAAAAGCATATAATTCACTTGCCATGAAAATATATTTGGATCTATAATTTTCATCAAAGCAAGTGACCCAGAAGTCCGACCAGATCTTCACGAAAAAGCTATATCTGCGCTCAATAAATCAATAGAATTGGACCCAGAATGCATAGAATCATACTACCAATTAGCACTCGAATACGCTGTGATACGAAAAATTTCACAAGCAATCGAAAATATTCGTCAAGCACTTGCCCTCGATAATTCAAATATCCCAAGCTGGCATCTTTTAGCCCTACTATGTTCTTCACAAAAAGACATTCAAGGTGCACTAAAAGCGTGTGAAGTAGCCACCAAAGAATCCGATTGGGAAATAATAGACTCGTCGGTTGACTATGGGGCATTGACCACGATTGGAAATGAAGATGGCGAAGAATTTTTCGCTTTCAAGATGACGCAGCGTGCATTATTAGAATTGATGTATGGACCTGAGACCGCTATTTTACATCATCAAGGACTTTTCAAACTATATGGTAAGATATTCCCAGAGAATACTTTATCGCCCACTGGTTCCATTTATGAGAGTTTTAGTCTACGTAAACGAGACAATGAGGATACTTTGATTACACAATCGACAAAATCACTGTCCGTTGAGAAGAGTTCTTCTATCCTGCGAACAAAAGAGAATGCTAGTCCAGAAGGATCGATTCATAGCGTAGGAAACAAAGACACGTTGGGTAAGTCAAAATCTATTCAGTAGTAATAATTTATTAATTTCGGTTAACTCCATCTAACCAGTTTTATTATTAGATGTCCCAAAAGCAAATTATGCCGTTTCGATTGCCTCCTCGAAAAACTCAGGTTCCTCTGTAATAAGGCACAGTCCAACTCCAACAATCAGTGGCGTCGCGTCAATGAAATCAATTCCCGCCTCTACATCCCATTCTTCACAACCAGCTCTAGGTATTCGACAACGTCGACAACGCGCGAATAAAGCATTATCAGAACTGTGGCTTGCTTCTGCAGCTGCATATCGACGGCTCGGTAATTTTGAGGAAGCACAAAAGGCGATCGAGTCTGCCGAAGAGATTGATGGGTCTAATCCCGATCTATGGTGTGAAGTAAGTCACATATCTTTTTATATGTAAGAAGATTCATTCATTATCTTGATTTTTTAATATTTGTTTCGGTATTTTATCGCAGCTTGGTCTATTTCATTTTGCCCAATCCCAATATTCTACCGCGAGAACTTTATTTCAGAAAGCGTTGGCGCTTGATGCGCTTCACGTGCCAAGTTTAGTTCATCTAGGGCGAACATATTTATTGACTGGTGAGATAGAATTGGCGGAAGGTGTTTTAGAGAGCGCGACAAAAGGGCGAGGATGGGACTGCGCTGAAGCATGGAAAGTATTTAGTCTATCTAAATTGTAGAAAGAGAACGAATCAAAATTAATTTTCTGACTCATTATTTCAGGTTTTTCCTCAGTAAAGTATTTGAATCTACTAATCGCATCGACCGTACAAAAAACTGCTTATGGTTCGCGTTAAATCTTGAAGACACGAAGCCTGTGCGGCCGTTCAGTGTATTACCACGGTGCATTTTATTGAGAAACGATTGATCGAAAAAGGCTTTCACATAATGAATTTTTTCTGTGCGCGATCATAGTTGGCGATTCTATTTATTTATTTAATGAGATTTTTTTATACTCTATTTAATTCATTACTGAATAAGAGTAGGATTATATTTTTCTCTTGCCATATAGCGTTATCAAAAAAGGAACGTTCAGACATTTTAAATCTAATTAGCTAATTAATATTTTGTAAAATAGCCCGAAAATTAATAATTATAATACGTATATGATGTCACATTTTTCAATAAAATTGGGACTAATGCTGACTAAGACATTTTTTCATTTAGTTTAATTTTACTGTAACGATATATATATATATATATATATTGATTATAAACCGGATTGAACACATGTTTAGTTTTACTATAACGAGGTATTTCAAATTTTTCAACAAATAGAGAATATAATGGATCAACAAACGATTAATAATCGAAGACGGCGGCGGTTATTTCTCACTAACCTTGCCAATAAACTATCAACCTCACATATCAAACTGCTCGTCAATTAATTAACACAGCTCACGATCCTTGCAACAGTCAAAACACCCAATACCTCTCACTATTTTTCTTTTCCCGAATCACAACAAGAATGTCAATGGCGTCAGTGTCAGCAATAAAGTCCATGGCGTCAAATATAAAGTTATCTGCTACAGCTACCGCGCAAAAAAGAATGCGCCCTATAAAAGCGGCAATGACCTTGGTATGTGTGCTCTTTCAAATATTTTAGATTTTCATTTATGTCATTACTATGTTTCAGTTGATCTTCAATTTCAACACTTTTCTTGTTTGGCATAATTCTTAAAAACACGAATTCAACTCTATTATTGATAAATCCCAATTAAAAAGACACCGTCAGCGGTAAACAGACTACGACAACTAGTCCAAGGTCCAGATCCAAAGCTGATACGTGTTGCAGTAAAGAACAAAGGTTGTGCAGGGCTATCTTATGTGTTGGAGTACACGAAAGATAAAGGAAAGTTTGATGAGGAAGTGACACAAGATGGTAAATTATTATTTTTTTTTTTAAATTAAATTCACATCTAAAGACAATGCTAATTTGAAAATCAATAAATTCAAGGCGTCACTGTCCTCATAGACTCCAAATCTCTCTTCAAAATGCTCGGTTCGGAAATGGATTATGTAGAGGATAAACTCTCGTCGAAATTTGTGTTTAAGAATCCGAATATTAAAGAAAGTTGTGGATGTGGAGAGAGTTTTACCGTCTAATAAAAATTTTAAACTAGTGATCACAATTAAAAAAAACAATCTTATAATTTTGATTCGACCTTTTATTCTGTGAATAACATTTAGATATTTATTTAAATTTAATTTATTTAATATCCTTTTAGGCAAGCATAATATTGTAATATCATTTCACTTATAAAAGCGACAAAAAAGTTGTTTAATGTACCGTCTTTAATTCCATTTCCAAAATCAAAATTTTATCATACTTTTTATTATAATCTTTACTATATCAAAAATTACTAGTTAAATCAGCATTATCAATAAAATTAAGTTTAGAATGTACTATATACATTAATATAACATAACGTAATAGTGGTAAATAAATACTGACTATGTTACAACTAATAAATAAAACCTATAACGATTCTATTACTACTATTATTACCATGAGATAGAGAACCCACCATCCAATGAGATCCCCAATCCTCGAATAAATAATCTTCCAGTTTCCCCACTCCAATCTATTTTACTCCGTTCAATAACCTTTGTATACGTATTTTTGAACGCAATTTCCTTAACCTCACGTGCAATCCCATATATCAAAATTTCATCTATAAATGACCCAGGCCCGTCGTATCGAAAGATACCCTCGACCTTCAATACACTATCACGGACCGTTAGGGTGAGAAGTGAATAATTTTCGACGAGATTTTCTGGCGGTGTTTCACCATCATCTAAATATAATTCACCAGACGCGGATCCGAATCGGTCTAATGCGATTAACAACTGAATACCGGTTTCACGACTTGCATGTGTAGTTAATCCTGCTCGAACGTGCATTGGCACTATAGAACCGCCATAAACATGAACAGGTATTACTTCTAACGGTGCTTCTAATTCCTTCCATACGCCTTGTACAATATCTAATTGTTTAACGCCTGTGAAAAAGTCGTACCATATTCCAGGAGGGAAATAACCGGTAACCTTTAGCGCCCCTTCTCGAGTAACAGGAGTTACTAATAAACCTTTTCCAACTAAAAACTGTTTATCGATATCCCATGTATCTTTTCCCTCCGGTTCCAAAAACCAGAGGGGACTAATCACAGGACTTCCATTATTATAAGCTCGATAGAAACCCGTGTACCAATATGGCAACAATCGATATCGAATCTCCAACGCGAATTTTGCTGCCTGCTTTACTTTTTCAACTAGATAAAATTCCTGGCCTGGCATGTTGATCGAATTATGATTGCGGCAAAATGGATAAAAGCTTCCCAATTGCGCCCAACGAATGGCTAATTCTTCAGCACAGACACCATTGAATCCACAAATATCAGCTCCTACCAACGGAATGGCAAAAAGTTGAAAAGAGAGTATCCCAGGAATTGATTGCTCTAAACTTCGCCACGACGATTCATTATCTCCTAACCAATGAGCGACAAATTTTCCGCTACCCGGAAATGTCGATCGAGAGAGTACAAATGGTCGTTTATCAGGGCGAATAGTTCGCAAGGCATTATATGTAGCAATTCCTTCCATGTGACCGAACAAGTTGTGAGCGTCGTATTCAAGTACACCATTCTTATGAAAACCATCCATTGGAGAAGTACGTGTGAACAGAGGACTTTCGTTGCCGAAGTTATTAATAGCATATGGTGGATTATTGATAGAATGCGGAATGAATGTTGAAGAGAAACCCAACACGCGTTGCACAATAGTAGCAATCGTTTGCTTGACGTGTTGAACCAAACTAACACTAACATTAATGTGCTTATGATTTGTTTCATGTGAAATATCACCATTTACGAAATTCGCCAACTCATTCATATCTATCAAAAAGAAAAATATGTTGATTGCTCATTATATGTATATGATCAATACCAAAATTAGATACACACCAATCCAGATTCCATCAATCGGTACTTGCCCCAGCCACTTGGCCATTATTTCAGTCCAGTACTGTTGTGTTTCAGGATGAAACCAATCCGGAAAAACAGTTTCCCCGGGCCAAACGCGTCCAACAAAATTGTTTCCATCCGCTCTTTTAATGAACACATCTCTTTTCAAGCCTTCATCGTAAACGGCATATCCATCCTCTACTTTGATACCTGGATCCACTATAACTACTAACTTTCGATGGCATTCGTGCAATTTCTCTAAGTATGGTGCAAATTTCTCTGGTGGAAAATGTTCTGGATGGAAGGTGAACACTTTATAGGCATCCATGTAGTCGAGATCTATCCAAACGACCTCCATCGGAATTTTTGCTTTTTCATATTGACTAACTATCTCATCAATTTTTTCGATATTAGTGTATCCCCATCGACATTGATGAAAGCCAAGTGACCTATACATGGCACAGAGAAAAGTTAAAAACTGAAGTAATATGGGAAAAGAATCAGAGGATCTCTTTCTTTAAGATATGTTAGGAAATCAAAGACTTTACCAGTAAGGAATAAAGCATGGTCGTCCAATTAACCCAGCATATTGTTCAACAACCTCTTGAGGAGTAGGACCAAGGAATACGTAAAAGTCTAATATACCGCCGATAACTTTATACGTAATGATACCATTATCGTAGATGACATCCATGCCATTCGAATTCAATAATAACTATTTTATAATTATTAATAGTTTTTGTGATTATATAGTTTTTTTGTGATACGCAACAAGAAAAAGGTTAACAATATATTCTAGCTTTAGAATAGGTAACTTACGACACCATGCGCTTTCCCATCTCGTAATTCGATGTAAAACGGATGTGCACCATATAAATTTTCATTTTCTGGACAAGCAGCATCTACAAAAATAACGAATGATTAAACGAATAAATTCAAATCAAATAATATTTGTTAAGATTTATTGAATACATATACGCTAATGATTACCTCTTGTAAATATAGTGAATCTTCCGGTACCTCGCTTAAACGATGAAACTACTTCACCTAATCCATATATATTAGCGTCTAAAGGCAACGAAGTCGACAATTCGATATATTGATCTTTGAAAATCAGATTCTTGCCAATCGTATCGAAAATAGATCCACTTTCATTCTTTCGTGAAACAGAAAACCCAAAAGGGCTAGCATTATAGTTAAGACTGTAGTTACAGTTCTCAATTTCCGTTAAACTTCTATCTACTGCCACGACCGACTCGGGAACTCGCCAACGTAACCCCTCGGCATCGGATATGCATATGTGAAGTCGGTGAGGTGTTTGATATTCTACGGTAAACGTAAGATTTTCGAGAGCAGGTCCATAGTTTGGCAGTGTATCTTTGTGATGTTTTGATAGAACAAGGTTTCCATGAATAGAATTTGAAGTTTTTCGAATATCTTTTAATTCATAAGAGGATTGGGGGGCATTTGTCATCATTCAAAAAAAAAATTATATCGATTCGAAAAGACGATGGGTGATTCAAAATTTTATTTATCAGATCAACAAAGTGTTACGCCAATCACTTGTATCGTCATTTCTGTTGAGTTATGGCAAATTTCTTGATACCTACTCGTTTTTCTTCCAACCTCGCAGCTGCAATTCGCCCATTATCTCTTAGACGGGGTTTAGCGGCAGCCGCAAGCCCCGAAGGGACTGTTCCTTTTGTAGCTCAGCGTCAAGCAGTAAAAGAACATGCTGCTGGTACGTCTCTGGAGAAACGGGTTTAGTTTAGAACTTGTAAAGTTGATTTGATAAACAAATGATTAAAGAATAAATTACATTAAAAAAGCTACCACTAGACTCTGGAAAAATATCTCAATTTACGTTTGCATCCCGTCGTTAGTCTTGGCTACTTGGAATGCATACCGAATTATGAAAGAACACGAAAAACACGAAGCTCATCATTACGTACCTCCAGAAGAACGTCCATTGTATCCATATATGCGTCTTAGGAACAAGGTTGCCGTATTACTCTTAAAAAAATATTATTATCGAGGCATCTTATTCTCTAGTGTACTAATTATATGTATATATTATTTTGATAATAGCCTTTCCCATGGGGCGATGGAGATCATTCTCTCTTTCATAATCCAAGGGTTAATAGATAATTTTTTTAGAAGAAATGTTTTATTAACTATTACCTCTAATAATATTATTAATACATTATCGTAATTAAAAGCGAATAATTAAGGAAAAGGTGCATTGAATGCATACGCTAAAATGATAAATAGATGCTGTAAATTTCATTTTTTTAATAACAAGAAAATTTTATTGCCGATGACTATTAACATTAAAAAGAAAACAGCATTAGTTATAATCGACTTGAGAGAGAGAGAGAGAGAGGGGATTTTGTATGCAAGATCAAACAAATAAAGCCAACGTGTTAGAATTCAAATTTTGAGCTTTCGCCTACTCCTCCTGCGCCTTTAGCAACCTCCATCTCCCTCGGATCAAAAGATTGTCGTGCCTTCTTTATATCTTCACTCATATACAAAAGTTCTTCGACACGCGCGAGTTTTTTTGGATCATTGCGAAGGATGAACTTGAAATCCTCGACTCGCACTTTGTTTCGTGAGCCGGCTACTTGTGATGCTTTAATACACTATCAATAAATACGTGTATAATAATAGATGATTCACGAAATTAAATAAATTGAGCGAAAAAAAGATAATTACCATATCGGTTATGTAATCAATGACCATTTCCTCAAGAACATTTACAGTATCTGGTGCAGGATTAGGAACATCTCCAAAACCATACATTAGTTGACTCACTAGGAAAAGAAGAAGCATTAACATTATAATAATATTATTATTATATAGTCAATATATAATCAGAGACTAACTAACAGTCTTTAGCGAAAAGTCCTTTCTTCTCTTTTGGTGGTCTACCGCGTCTTGATTCCATCCTTATGATTCAATTCCAGCAGAAAGAAGAAAGAGAGAAAATCAGTCGATCAGGAGAACAATAATTCAAGTCAATTTCTATTTGCGGATAGAATTGCAAGTATGATCTTTTTCACAAACTAGTACTAATATACATTTTACATTTTTGCTGCTTATCGTTATGGCAAAGCAAGTACCTTAAAAAATAGGATTCCCACGAGCGAGGTACTGTTATTACGAAGGGACGAAGCAGAAGCAGAAGTTGAAGTTGCACTCTCGAAGACTTGTAATGCTACTCTTACTCTTGATTCAACCTCAAATTTTGGCACTGCCTACGCCAGAAGCAACGAGTCCACTTTGTGTCAATGCAAATTTTTTTTTTCTTGATATAAGCGAAGTCAAATTACATCTACGACATGAATTTAATAATTCTGTGCTTTGAGTTTGAAAATTTTTCTGGTGTCATATCGAATCATTGGATCAGAGAATTGAAAGCTTTAAAAATTTCTACCGACGAATGTTGCAAACAAAATCAATAATTACAATTGATCTTATATTGCTTTTTTTCAACAGTAACAAAGACGCTCACTAAACATCAAGGAATTCAAGCAATTCTTCAAGATTACGATCTCAGCATTTTCTGCAGATAATTCATCGAAAGAGACCATAATCCTTAAAACACACATTGGTATCATCATCACATTCAAAAACGTATTTAGAACATTAAATTCATCATTTTTGTTCAGTCTCTAGCCAAATATCATAAAAATAAAACCAAACAACAAGAACTTCAGAGATATCTACGAATGGTAATGCATCCAAAACTCGAATCAACAGAACAATATAAGGGTGTTTCGTGGAAGGTTAGCGCAAGCAACTGATTTTGAATTTATTCGACTAATGTGGATCGTTTACAATGATATTTATTTCTCGAACAAGAAAAAATTTCATTTTTATAGTAAGCATTGCTGTCTCTTCATCGATAATATCTATCTATCTATCTATCTATCTATCTATCTATCTAAATGGATTTAGAGAACAGGTTCAAATATTGGAACTTTTAGCTTGGGTCCGCAGCAGAGTGTGCTTTTAGGGTTAGGAAACCAAATGGGTTGATACTTTTGTTTCAAATGATTTAATTGATGTATTCCATGTACTTGATTTACCTAATAAAATACAGTCGATCGGGACTATGATTAATCACGAGAAGAATTTTCGTGATGGTACAAACTTTTGGTGGCCAATCAAAAAAATTCGAATTAAGATAAGAAGGGGAAATTCCCAAAAAAATAAACATCAAATATTTGCCCTCTTAACAACAAACAACCGAAAGGGAACAGTCAAACTCGAAAACATTTAGAAACAACTCGCTGAATCTAATCACCAAACTATGATACCAATCAGTAACCGTCAAGTCATAGTAAATCTATTCGGAGGTCTTCCTCCGCTATGTATACCATTTAATTCAAATACATTAGTCACCGTCCAAGATTTAAAAAGCGTTATCACGTCGCGTATCTTCATTCCACCTGGCGAACAACGTCTCGTAACCAATGGGGGGAAAACGTTATACGATGAGACGCCGCTCTTTCAGACTGATGACGAGTTTCTTATCGTCAACTTAAGACTTGGGCTTTTGGGCGGTAAAGGAGGGTTTGGAAGTATGTTGAGGGCGCAGGGAGGAAAAATGGCCAGTCAAAAAACCACGAATTTCGAGGCTTGCCGCGATCTGGACGGTCGGCGTCTTCGAACGATCAATGAAGCGAAAAAGTAAAAATAAAGAAAAATTTTTTTTCATTACACATTTCTTAACGAATTAATCTCATTTTTTTCGCAATTCCATCCGTTTTTTTTTATTTCTTTTCGTATAGGTTGGCTGATTATCTTGAAGGAGAACCAGAACGACAACGCGCAAAGGAGGAAAAATTGAAAAAGAAGATTGAAGAAGGTCTTCGTGAACCACCAACCAAAAAACACCGTTTCAATGATCCTCATTTCCTCGATGAAAAACAAACTATTCTTGAAGACGTAAAAGCATCTGTGAATTTGGGTATGTCATGGTTCACTTATCGCGAATAGATTATTATTATTATTATTATTAAATTATCTTGCCCTACTAACATGGATTTTTTTATTCTAGCTATGCAAGCGAAGAAACAAGAAAGCTCCACATCCGCCGCCAAGAAAACCATTGGAAACTCTCTCTCAATGTGGGAAGTGGAAAGTTCTGATGATGACGTCGAAATGACTGATTCTGCGCCTGAAGATGACAAAGATGTTGAAATGACCGACTCTGCATCGGACGACGATGACGAAATGGCCGACTCTGCACCGGTTGATGATATCAAACCAGAGAAAAGTTCGAATGACTCGATTATCAAAACCAACAGCAGGAATGCTTCCAAAAATAGTAACAATACACGCGCAGGAACCAATGTCACCAAGTCTATCAAACCTACTCTATCAACACCATCATCAACAATACGAACGAGAGCTCGCGACTACTCAAAGGTCAATACCACTTCTACGAAGTCCGCCAAAGGAAAGTCCGTCGCTACTAGCAAAAGAAAATCCCGAGATGACGACGATGACTGAATGAACACCTGGCTATATTGCATCATTCATATTATTATCTACATATACATCTTTAGATACACAACTTAATATATCATACACGATAATTCTTACATAGCATTTATCATTACAATTAGACGATCGTAGATCGATTTTCTCAAAATTCTCAAATCTAAAAAAAAATTTACTTTCTCATTATTACAATCTCCTTTGCGTATTGGCATTGATGAACACTTGCTTATAATTTCTTTTTTTTTCTACTTTACTACGATCTTTTCGATAAACTTATGAGCAAATATAATATCTTTTCGTTAATTTTCTAATTTCAACGCAATAATTTCTATTACTACCAATCAATCTTTGGTATTAATTGAACGGGTATAGTGGTTGCATATCCGATTCTATCAATATCCTCAATTATCTTTTAGTTATCTAGTTTTATTGTTTCGTTCATCTTTTATACTTGGTTTACGACCTCATTAAATCTCAATGACGTGCATAATAAACAATAGTATTGTTTATTTTTCTTCTTGGATTATTGATAACCCTTATATCTCATCCTGGTAGTAGTAGTAGTTGTGATTCATTTTGTAAATAATAAAATTATGTAAAATCAAATAAAAAAAATTCGATATTCGTAATATGGTATTTACATACAAAGTGTAAATAATTACGGCGACTTCATTCTCAGCCCCTTTCTCTCATCAATGCTTTTCCCTCGTCTTTCGTGAGATAAATAATAACTTATTCGTCAATCCGAGCATATTTTTTTTTACTTACCAATAAGTATACATACATGGGTGAAAACTTTTTCGCCTTTAATAATAATAGTGTGTCGATTAAAAAACAAGGATAAAGTAAAAGATTAGATTATTAGTGGATAAACTATTTAGAAAAGGAGAAATAAGAATTATACTACAATAGTAAATAATTTTTATATATATATATATTTATATAGACTACAATTAACAAGGTTAGAGGGTTGACGAAGCAAAAGCAAATAATGATAAGTATCCAAAAATAACCCACGAACCCTCCTCCAATCATCAAAAAAAATCAAAGATATATAAATATCAAAAGGTGAATTATATTATGCAAAGAGTTAATAGATATTTTATCAAGAAATTAAAAATAAATCCGTGCGAGAATCCAAATTAAAATTTCTTGATCTGATCAACAGACCACACCGGCAACATTTACATCTTGATTCTCATCACCCTTCAATATTCTCAGTCTCATCGCCTAACAACTTTAAATAATTTTCCGGTACAAGGCCCGAAGATGCTTTACTATTATCATCTTCATCGACTAAAAGTTCAGCAAAAAACCAATCTTTACTCTGTTGATATTTAATAACTAAAATATCTCCCTCATTGAAGCTTAATTCACTTTCATCTGCTGCTCGAAAATCGTATAAAGCGCACGCTCGACGATTAGTAAATCCATCATTATATTCATCTAAATCTTCTTCATATTCATAATGATCGGCTTCCAGTTCGTTATTCTCTTCGTCGTCGTCGTCGTCGTCGTATATTATTTCTTGTCCCCGATGTCGTGGATCATCTTCTGAGTAAGCAAAATCTCGAATTTTCACTTCTGTTTCAGAGTTTTGGTCATTCTTATTGCCATTGAATAATAAAGAATCGTCTTTGGATGCTATACATGATTTATATGAAACATTAAATAATTAATGCAGAAAAAAAATCCACGAAAATAATTTAATATAAATAATAATTACCTTTTATGGGCTGATAAAAAACATTGATTTAAATAAAAATAATTTTTTAGCTCTCACACAAGATATTAAGTTAAAAATATCACAGCCCATTAACTTACTAAACGCCTTTTCTTTTCGGGTTCTTCCCAGATATCTTCATCTTCCCCATTTAATATATAATCCTCTCCACCTCCTCTGTAAAATTCAGCAAGTGTTTTCGCCAAATTCTTCTCTAATTCTGAATTATCTAAATCATTGAAATTTTTTTTATTAACGCCAGCACTGATAGTTTCATTGCCATTAGTAATAGTATTATTAGAGCTATTCTTGTTGTTGGTATGTTTATTTTGATCCTCCGCCTCTATATTTGAAGAACTATTGTCTTTCTTTTTCGTCGAAGAAAATGAAGCAGGCGAAGCAGGTGGGGTCGTGGTTGCGGTCGATGGAGAATTTCTACTATTTCTACGAGAACTACGAGAAGAATGCGTTCGTGAATGACGTTTAGTTTTTTCTTCCCGCGTTTCTGTGTTGTTGCTGCTATTCACAGGTGGATTTGGTGTGGTGGTCATATTTATATGGTCGTTGTTATTAATAGTAGTAGTAGTGGTGGTGGTAGTGTTGGTGTTGGTGTTGGTGGTGGCAGTATTAGTAAGATCTATGAAAGGTTTAACTAAATTAGTAAAATGGTAGTTACGTAGTTAATAATTTCAGCAGCGAAAGACGAGAAAAATTTTTTCATGGTCATATATTAATTTTAAGAACCTTTTTTATTTTCAGTTGGTGTTGTAGTTGTTGCAGTTGTGGATGCTTTTTGGGCCATTTTCAATTTTAATTAAAATAATCTAGTTTTTTTGGTATCGTTCTTCGTTATCCACACACACACACGTCACTCTAAAAATCTATTTTAATTTTAATTTATTTTATTATGGAGTGCGAGAGAATAATGGATAAAAAAAGGTCGTTCTCCTTAAAAATGTTTTTTAGTATAATTAAAAAAAAAATCACGCTCTTTCTTTCTTTCGTTTATACATTTATTTACTTCATTCGCTCTTCTTTTTAAACACACATTTATTATATACACATTACATAAAAGAAAAAAAAACAAAACTCACAATAAAACAAGCAAAAAGTGAAGTTAAAAAGTAAAAAAGGTAAAAAGGGTGTAGTGATGGTTTTATTGGTTTTATTAAATGATTATTATTAAAATGACAAATGACAATGAAAAATGGTTGTGATTGTATAACATAACATATAAAGAACCCTCATTTTTGATTTTGCGTCGGTGAATCTAATCTCATTGGTATTTCTAAATGTAAAAAAATATATTTTTGAATACCGGGGGTTCTCTCACCTTGTTAAGATTAAAATTTTTGTGCAGGGATTAACGATAAGCAGGTTCCTTGTATAAATCTCACAGTCTTACTCTTTTTTTTGAAGAAAATTTAGCCAGTATTCTGAAAAATTGTTCGACAATACAAAATTTTAAGAAACCAAAAGGGGTTACTCTTTCATCAACGTTCCTGGAACGTGCATTTTTGAGTTAGTCGCACAAAGTGATCACTTTTAATCATGTGCTAGTAAAACGCGATATAAATGAATGGAATAAGCGTATAACCTTTTCTTGATAACTATCAACTTCTGATATACTGCTGGAAAAATTAAATATCGAGTCACAAATTCTTAAAAAAAATTTAAAGGAATAAAGAAATCTTCAATTTCAATGGTCAAAGAAATAAATAAATCAAATGTCCTATCAGCAGTAGCTTCAAATCCAGAAAAAGGTATAAATACGTAATTAGCGCTAACTAACTTGTAGCTCTCTTCATCCGATCTATACTGGTTTTGATCTTCTGCTGAAGTTACTGCAACGTTATTGAACCACTCTTTATCGTGAAAGCTTTCAGATGCTCTCAGAATTTCGCCACTTGCCAAATGAACCATGTCATAAACTTTTATATAAAAGTCTTCGCTTTCGGATTCTTGTAACGAGTAATTCAAAATTTGAAACCCTTGATTATTGATTAAAACCCCCACGTCAATCGGTGATGGCGTTTTGGTAAGGTTCGGGCTAGAGTAAGAGTCATGATTGTTAGAACAGAGAAAATAGTTTCAAGATACAAGTTATTTTTCAAAAAGAAACGTTTTTGAATTTTCCGATCTTGGCGATTACCCTTAAAAGCGTAGCTTTTTTTGCACTCGTGATGTCATGATACAGACAACTAATGATGGCCAATGGGACTTTCCGATTTTCTGTGCATTATGCACATCATGTTTTCAGCGCATAATGATCGACAAAATAACGTTTAATGATCAGCAAAATGTACATCTCTAATCTTAATATTTCGAGACACAGTGGTAGAATCGAGTATGAAATCTACCATTCGATTCTCTAGGTTCCGATGAATCGAATGGTAGGTCTTTATACCCACTAGGTCTCGAGATATTGAGCTCCAAAGAGGTCGTACGTGGAATTCTGATTTTATTTTTTGACGAACACTTATGTACAGCTTCTTTGGGACTCAATATCTCGAGACCCAAGCGAGTATAAAGCTGATCTTTCGATCCCCCTATGTTCTGGTGAATCAAATGGTGGGCCTTACATTCGATTTCCGCCACCGGATCTCGAGCAAAGAGGCCGTACGTGAAATTACGGCTTTCATTATTTTGTGCAAATATTAATTGCGAACTTTTACACCAATTACGAATAAACGCATCAATTACGAACCTTACAACAATTACGAATATTATAAAAATTACATAATATTGAATACAAAAAAGAATAAAGGATAATTAATGTTTATTACTTTCAATCATATTCACCAGCCTAAATAATTAAGAAGAGATATCAATTAATAAGTAAATAGATAATAATATATGTGGGACACTGCATTCAGTATCTTCTCCCACACAAAGAACAGATCCTAATATGTTTGAATTGTATGTATAAGAATGTTCCATTTATGCTTTCTTATACCGATACCTTAAGACACAAACCGTAAGGGATTGTTGTTGAAAGTTCCCAGGATACTGAATGCAGTCAATTCCTAATATAAACCAATCAAGAATAACGAATTCACTTACCAATCCAATCCTTCTGTTAATCCATCTCCTTTCACCGCACTAGTTTTATAAATAGTCCATTGCCGATTTTTCAGCGTGTCTAATCGCAAAGAATCAGAAACCTCTGTTACAGACATCGCACCATCCATATCCTGTTTATTAGCAAATACAAGTAACGCTGATTCACGTAATTCTTCTTCTTCGAGCATTGCATGCAGTTCTTCCCGTGCTGTGTTAATACGATCACGATCCACTGAATCCACTACATATATAACGGCATCCGTATTCGCGTAGTAGCAACGCCAGTAAGGTCTGCGTCAAAGGAAATGATTTAATTAGAATTTATATAAGAACATATAGTTACTTTTTTATATATATGCGCAATTACCTTATACTTGTTTGACCTTTTTCCATTAGAAAATTTTATTGTATTAGTTTTTATAAAACATTAGGTTATGTCTTAAGAAATCCCAATGTATAAAAACAGCTGACCTCCTAAATCCCATACTAAAAAATTGAACCCATTGGATTAATATCGCACGATTAAATCATATTCATTAAAAAATTTAGAAAGCACATGATACCTTGGAATTTGATATTTTTATATGTGACAGTTTCAACATTAAATCCAATCGCTAATCGAAATTCACCGAATATTTATCAATAATATCAACAATAATAGATCATCGAATAAAGAACAAATTTCAATAAGCACCTACTTGGAATGGTTGTGACTACTTCACCAATCTTTTAAAGTAACATATATGAATAAATCTATTCAAAAAATTCGGATTATCATACAGATTGAATCGCTTACTTGAAATCGATATAATATGGTTGTTTTACCAGCACCATCTAAACCTAAAATTAATATTCGAACTTCTTTCTCTCCCCATAATCGTCCTAGTGCTCTACTAAACATACCACCTTTTTTATCAAGACATGAAAAAATCAAATGCCCCCAAAATTGTTAAACTGTAAAAAATCTCCTTGTATGAACATCTTTAAATATTGTCACTTACCCATTTTTCCCAAATTAGAAAACGAAAAGCCTTTTCCGAGGTAATAATAATATAAAGAACAAGATATATTAAAGCTATTTAAACAACAGCACGTTTAGTTTTGGATAGAAGTATCTCTATTTAGCTTCGCTTAATTGTAATGATTTGCATACTTGATATATATAATTTTCAGAGACCGCATTTATCACGTGAATCTGCATATCGATGTGAGCTGGAAAAATTCAGATATATAGATAAAGGGAATTTTTGTAGAGATGTATAATGATTATGAAAAATGATGACTGCATATAATCGTGCACAAGAGTTTTCTGAAGATTTTCGTTAGGATAATCATTCAATTATAAACAACTATTATTTCGTATATTAATACAGCAAGCAAGTCATAAAAAATTAAAGGGAACAAAATTTCATATCAATTAATGAAATAAAACATCAAATATATTTTTAGTTACGTGTAGCATAGAACGTAATTTTAGTGCTTATACCCTAAATTTTGGATCTTCGTGCACTTTATGATTATATTATAAATAATAATTAATATATATGGTTAATAAAATTTAATTTCGGAATAAAACGGACCTATCTTGAACTGCTGTGCTCTAAAAAAATGCTCCGTGCAAAATTTTACTATATAATAATCTGTGCGATATAACCTTAACGGCAGTGTTGTACATTTTCGATATAAATAGCGGACGTGGACATTCCCGTGTTCCAAGACATATGATTGTAATCGAACAGTGTTAATAATCCATATCATTTGACCAATACATTATTAAGACCAAGGAAAAACTCAATAAAAGTAACTATAAAGTTTATTGCAAGACATGTGTCGAAATATTGAATTAGGATGAAGGAAAAAAAATTTTTTCCTAATAAGACAGATAAGATAATTATTCATCTCAAAAAATATATACATTTCGCACAAAAAATGATATCAGAACAAATTATTTTGATATTTGATAGTTAAATAAATATAAAAAATAAATAATTATTAAAAGTAATAATTATTACTTTAGAAGAAAAATTATATATGTAAAAAGCAATAAATATTAATATAGAAAGAAAATTTCATATTAAAGTAATAAAAAAATAAAAATTATAATTAATAAACTAAAAAATATACAAGTAAAGATTTTTATAATCATAACAAATAGTATCAGTTTATATATAATACTAATATCTTCTCAGATACTTTTAAAAAGCATCTTATATATCTAAAATAAGTATTTAATAAGCTTAAAGAAAGTAATCTAAAACTTTAATCAAGTAAATATTAATTTGATAAAACTATACTCACCTTTTTAGGATATATTATTAGTAAAGATAGTTTAAAATCTAGTCAAAATCTTAGCTATAAAATAGTTTTCTAGATTAATAAATCTAATTATTTTGAGAAAATTTCTTGACTTAGTCTTATATTATAAATATTTTTAAGAAACTTTGCAAAAATAGCAATATCTTTAAATCAATTAATAAGAAAAGCTTAATCTTTTGAATAGTCTATTAAATATCAAGAGGTATTTGAAGAGTTAAAAAATAAATTGATTACTATATCTATATTAATCTATTTGAACTTTAAGAAATTTTTCATCCTATATACTGATACTTCTAGCTTTGAATTAGAAGTAGTCTTAATATAAAAAGATAAAAAAGATAATAAACATATAATTATTTATATTAGTAAAAAATAAATAATACTGAGAAAAATTATTATACTATTAAGTTAGAATATTTAGCAATAGTTTGAGTAATACAACTATTCAGATTATACTTATATTCTAATATTTCTTTCACTCTGATAATTGATTATAATACTTTAAAAAGTTTATTTAATAAATTAAAAATTTCTGAAAAACTTGCATGCTGAATTTTGACTTTAGAAAACTATAGTTTCAAAATTAAATATTACAAAGACTAAATTTACTCTAATATAGATCCCTTATCTAGATATTTTCAACCAGAACCAACTTAGATACATCAAAAGAAATACTAGAAAAAGATTATCAAAAGTTTAAAAACAAAATAAAATTATACTTAACAAAGAAAAGAATCTTATATAGATGTAACAAGAAAAAATCAGATCAATCTTTAAAAATAATTAAAGTTAATAAAATAAAAGAAATATTATTCAATAATTATGCAATAATATATATTGAATATTTTGATATTAAAATAATTTATTATAGAATTATTCAAAATTATTATTGATCTAAGATATATTTTGATATTAAAAATTATATAAAGATATATAATATATATTAATACAAAGAAAAAATCAGAAGAAATAATATATTATATTTTATAAAAAGTAAAAAGTCTTTTGAAAAGATAGAAATAGATCTAATTAGATCACCCATATTAATAAAAAATAATTATAAGTATATAGTAGTTATTATAGATTATTATATTAAATAGACAAAAATAAAACTAATCTTAAATAGTTTAGCAGAAGTAATAATACCATTTTTATAAAAAGATATTTTTTGTAGATATGATTTTCCAAAAGAAATAATATCAAATAGAAAAATAACTTTTATTAATGAATTGATAAAAGAATTATTTGAAAAATATCAGATTAAATATCATCTATTAATATTATATTATTCTTAAATTGATAGACTTATAGAAAGATTAAATAGAATATTGTGTAATATTATTGAAAAGCTAATTTAATTATATAAAAAAGAATGAGATATATATGTATTTTTAGTATTTTTCACTTACAAAATAATGAAATAAAGTTCAATAAAGTTTATATCTTTTTATCTTACCTATAATAAATAAATTATTATATCTTTAGATTAAAATTAATTAATAATAAAAAAGATATTACTTTAAATAAATTAGTTAAAAGAGTTTATATTATTATAGATAGATTAATATTAGACAGATTTATTACTCAATAAAATATACAAAAATTCTAATAAAAACAAAAAGAAACTTATCAACAAGATAAAAATTACTAATATTTTTTTATTAAAAATAAAATTTTAATAAAGAGAATGGAAATCAGTATTAGTATCATGAAAAATTTGCTCAGAAATGAAAAAAATCATATTTTATTTATCAAATTTTTAATAAAGATATTTATAAATTAAAAATATTAAATAGTAAAATTCTTAAGAATTCTTATAATAGTAATTATCTGAAATTATATCTTGAAGATAATAGATTAGAATTTAAAATTATCATAAAGAATTAAATACTTCTAGTCCTGACAAATCAAACTTTAATATTGATGAGCTATAACTTTTATTAACATAAAAAACTAACTAAATAAAAACAAAACTCTGTCAATTTTATAGCAAATCAAATAATTAATATATCTAGTCAAAGTCTTATCATTTTGTTAATAGAAGAATATCATCATTTTAAAAGCTATTATCCAAAATATATCACTTATAATTAATTCTTTAGAGTACCACATATTTGCAACTCTAAATATTATGATAACTCTTCTTATATCAGTTATCAATATCTAGAAGTTAAGAAAATTATTCTAACTGAAAATTAATTAGAATAATAATATTAAGATCATTAATATAATTTATAAAATTATTACTATTATTAATATAAAAATAAAAAAAAATAAATTATAGAGATTATAGATTCTACTTTATTAATAATGAAGAAGAAAAGTTTATTATTAATCTTATAGAAAAAGATAAAGAAGAGATTACTTATTCATTATAAATTAATTTTCAAAAAGAAGAAGTTTTATTTTTTAATGCAAGAAAAGAATGAGAAATTTCTCACTCTACTACTTATTTTAAATACTATTAGAATGTAGATGAGAAATTATATCTGTCTATATTCTCTTGAAAATATATTAAGTTAAAAGAAAAAGAGTTTCTTTTTTATTCCTTATAATATTTAAAAAGTCTAGCATTACTTTATAAAATGCATAGTTTTAGCTCTAGTAGTTATAATTTGACTCTAAAAAATATTGAAGTTAATTAGTATTTAGAATATAAAGTTATCCAATTTACTGATTATTAGTCAGATGATCAAGAATATAATGAAAAAAATAATGACTTATCTTTAGTCTAAATAATAAATAAGAAAAATAATAAAGCTGATAATAGATCTATCAACAAATAGAAATGAAATATAACTAGTATTTTATGAACTATTATCACCAGTAAAAATAAAAAAAGCAAGAAAAATGATAATATTATATTACAGTTACTCTTTATACTATCTGATTCTTGAAATTTTGAATCTCAAGAAAGAAAAACCTTACAAATATATTTTATATAGTCAAATAATAGTTACTTCTATAATTTAATGACATAATAATAATGATAATAATATAGATAAAATAATTATGAAGAGATAAAAATAATATTTATTAGTTTAATAGTAAAATAAACTTACAGATCCATAATAAAGAAAAACAAAGAGTAAATAATAGTAATGAAATAATATTTATTTTTTCTCAAGTTTAATAAAATTTATAAGATAATTATACTATTAATAATATTGAAATAGATAATAAAGAAGTATAATCTTATTATAAAAATGAAAAAAAAATTAATAGTAGAATAGTAAATAAATACAAAAGTCAAATTAATATAGAAAATACTAATAAAAATTATGTGATTAAGTAATCATTAGATATAGTATAAGATTATATCAATCTCTAAATTAGTAGTAACATAACCAAATTGTGAAATTATATACTATATCATAGAAATTAAATATAAAAATTAATTTATATTATAGATTTAAATATCCAGAAAATTCTCTTTTATATAATCTTTTTGAAAAATATATTAATCTAAAATTTTTGTAATTTTAATTAATTTATTATATTATTCTTTAATTTAATATATTATTATCATTTTAAGATTATATGTATATAATTATTTTAAAATAGTAATAATGACTGTGTTCATGG